GGGTTCAGGGCTTAGGGGTTCTATAAGGGTTCTCAACGGGTTCGATATGGGTTCTATAGGGGTTCTAGGCTTTAGGGGTTTAGGGGTTTAGGGCCCTTAGGGCCCTTATGGAGCCTTTAAAAAAATCCCTTTATGCACCCCTAAGCCTCGAAGCAAACCCTCAGCCAGTTCTCGCACCCGAGTTCAGGTCTTCGGCGCGCTGACCTCCAGTCGGTGCCGGGGGGGGAGCTGGGCATTTGTGGTTCTTGGATTTAGGGCCTTGGGTTCAGGGTTTAGGGTTTAGGGGTTTAGGGTTTGGGGTTTAGGGCTTAGGGTTGTGGGTTTATGGGTTTAGGGTTACCCTAAGCCCCATTGCAGAACCAGTGGGGAGCCCTCTAAGAGTTCCTCCAAAGTCGCCTTCAGAACAGGCGGGAGGCGAGCGTGATCACCGTCAACGCGGCCGTCGCTACCTGCGGAAAGGCAGAGAAAGTTCAGGGTTTAGTCTTTAGCGTACCTTCAAGGGGTGCGAGGGTGTGGGTCCTTCAAGGGTTCCTTTAAAGGCTTTTGTAGAAGTTGTTCCTGGCTTTGTGGAGTTGAAAGTTGTTTTGGTTGCCCAAACGGGCTCCTGTAAGATTTTCACAGAAAGGCTGTGTGAGCCCTGTACATGAGGTTTCGGGTTTCACGGCTTGGAGTTGTCGGGTTCAGGGCTTTAGGGCAACTCCCTGAAAGCTTCGTTGCAGGGGTTTCTGGCTGGTTTTCCACGGATTTTGTAGGTTTCCCTTGTGTTGAGGATAAGAAGCCCTGTCTAGCATGTAAGTCATGAGGTCTTGGGCTCTCTGGGAAGCTCCCCGAAACCAGACCTGAACCGTAAACCCTGAACCCTAAACCCTGAAAGCCTAAACCCTTAACCCTTGACCCTTAACCCTAAACCCTAAACCCTAAACCCCACACTCCAAACCCCAAACCCAAAACCCTAAACCCTTAACTAAGCCCGCCAGGCACTTCGATGGGACCTAGGAGTCTGTCTCCTGCAGAGCATGCCCTGTGACTGGCTTCTTGTTCAGGAATTGAATTTAGGGGTTTCAGAAAATAGGGGACCCTAATATAGTACCCTAAATAGTAAGATCCTTATTACAAGGACCCTAAAATAAGCTACCCTAATTTTCGGAAACTCCCATTTAGGGTAGTTCTCTCAACTAGGGTCCCCTTTTAGATTCTAGTATTTCTAGTACGGCACCCTGATCAAAAAGGACCCTAGAACCCCTAGACGCGACCCTAACTAGTTGAGAGAACTACCCGTTTCAGTTGCCATACTTTAGGGGTCCGTTAAGGGTTCTTCGAGCGTATAGGATTCAGGAACTTAGTTGAAGGCACCATGGTGAGGACCTGTAGTAAATAACAGGGTTTCCCTATCATGATAATTCCAAGCCTGTTCGATACTGGGTTTAGGGTTTAGGGTTTAGGTTTTGGGGTGTAGGGTTTAGGGTTTAGGGGTTTAGGGTTTAGGGTTTCTTTAAAGGATCCCTTACACGTCCCTTTAAAGGGGAACCCTTAAGGGAGCCCAGGTGATGCGCTGGAGCCGAATGTCATCAGCGCCTTCGTCTTTTGGTGCTCTCAGTCGGTTGCGATGGATTTCGGACTAACTTAAACTACCATGACCTGCTTTTTCAAAAAGTTGACAAACAATTTGTCAAGGGTTCCTTGAAGGAAGCTATGAGGGCTCCTTTTTTGCGATCTACAGACTACCAGACCCTGCTTTTGTGTGTAGGTTCTTGAAGAGGATCCAAGTATGGACCCTACAAAAAAGTAGATGGATTTCGGAGTGGTGTTTTCTGTACGGGGATAGTGGTGTAGGGGTTTAGGGATTGGGGTCGGTTTAAGGGTTTAGGGTTTAGAAGTTCAGGGTTTAGGAGTCGTGTAAAGGTCTGGGTAGTTCGCACTGCTGTTCCCGTTTCGTCCTCATTTAATGTATAGTAGAATGTACCCCAAACGCTTATGTGGGTCCCCCCACATCTAGCTCCATATTAATCACCAATCACCAAATCCGCAACATGGAACGTTAAACCAGGAAGGTAGGGGGCAGGGTTCCGCCTTTTCTGATTGTGAAGTCCTCGCCGCGGGATGCGAGGGTTTTCGGGCAGAGTCTTAGGGTTAGGGTTCAGTCGGCCTGGACAACTCGGAGTGGAAGTCGCGGCGACCTTTCTGGTGGAGGGCCTTCTGCTAGGATTTCGGGAGCAGGCGAGATTCTTCTCCTTCCTCTTCATGCTAGTCTTGCTAGTATTTCGTCCGCCACCGTTCTGAGTGCCGCTTTTGGACAGAGAAGGCTACAACTCGAGCATCAGCGCCTGCGAGAGGGGTGGGAACTGGCCGGCAGCTGTTCACCTCCTGAGGGACATGGCCGCAAGACATGTTGCACCAACCACTGTCTCCTTCAACAGCAGCATGAGCACCGCTGAAGCTTGGCCGAAGGTTAGAAGAGAGTTCGGGGAGTGCCTTTGTAATGACCCTAAACCCTAAACCCTAAACCCTAAATCCTAAACCCTAAACCCTAAATCCTAACCCTTACAATATGATCTATCCGAGATCCGATTCGAATTACTGCGGCCGCCATTCTTACTTGCTGATGCTATTACTGACGGTTGCCTGACACATTTATGGTAGAAAGCACCCCCAAGCGCAAGTCCCAAAAAGTTAGGCCCCTCCAGTGTTCCATCCCTTCAGTCCGAACTCCTTGAACATGACCCCCCAAAGTTAAATCTACATCCGAAACCCCACCTGTATCCCCAAACTGTACCAAATAGTAGGTTATGACCCCTTAGTTCTAGGGTCTAACCCTTAAAACGGTGGTAGGTTATTGGATACCCAGAACCCTAAACCCTAATCGCTAAGCCCTAAATCCTAAACCCTGAACCCTAAACCCTAAGCTCTAAACCCGAAACCCTAAACCTTAAGCCCTAAACCCAAAATCCTAAACCCTAAGCCCGAAACCCCAAGCCTGAAATCCTAACTCCTAAACCCTAAACTAAATCCTAAATCCTAAACCCAAAGCCCTAAGCCCTAAACAACAGTCTCCGAAGATCCCGACCCGGGAGGGCAGTACGAGAAGAGTCTGGGGTTTAGGGTTTAGGGTTTAGGGTTTAGGGTTTAGGGTTTAGGGTTTAGGGTTTAGGGTGAATCCTAAAACCCCTCTCTACAGTTAGAATAGGGGTTCCTTTCAAGGGATCCTTAAAGGGTTCTATCAGGGATCTGTAGTGAGTAGGCTTTTATACTAGGGGCCTTAATACTTAGAATAGGGTTTTGGGGCCCATTCTGCAAAAGTTACTTGGAGGCCCAGAGAACTTAGTAAGTAAGTTATAAGTAGAGTTATAAGTCCCCTAAATGGAGTTACCTTAATTATAACCCTGCTTATAAACGACTTACTAAGTCCCCTGGGCCTCTAAGTACAAGAAGGAAACCCTAAACTAGTATAGGTTAGTATTGAGGCTCCTACATCACCCAATGACTGTGATTTGCGCCCCCCCCCCCCCATTATCTTTCCCTCAAGCCGTGGAGGTGGAGGCGCTTGACTTAGCCAGCAGGTGAAAGCAGGCTCAGACGTAAGATATCAGGTAATATAGGGGCCTAAATAATTACCCGTACTATTTTGGGGGTTCGTTACTATAATTATAGTATAATGGGCCCCAAAACCCTATTCTAGTTGCTAAGGCCCCAGCATTCGTTGCGGCTCCATCAATAGCTTACTTGCTGAGTCACATTCTCCTTTAAAGCAGGTGCCCCGGGCACGAACTCCGAAATCCGAACCAAGAGCGGCCCTAGCGGTGAGGAGAAGGGTGCTCGATGGGAGCTGGCCTTGCAGCTTTTTCCTGACATGGCCAGCGAGGATGGCTGGCTGTGGAAAGGTGGTTCCATTTTAGGCTTTTAGGCATTAAAAAACTTAGTACTTCCATACCCAACCTTTAAGCTTTTTGGGTTCTTTATACTTCAGTGGCAATCTGAAAGTTTAACCCTGGGAAGAAGAAAACATCCTAAGAACCTTGTCAAGGGCCCTCTGAAGAATGCCCCCCAAACCTTAAGCCAGACCCCTAAACTCCAAACCCTCAACTCAAATCTGAAGCCAGAAGGACCTGTCGCCCAGTGTTGTCACCTACGGCGCGAGTGCCTCGCCGACGTCTTCAAACAGTAGCTGGTGTCCAGGGGCACGGTCTGCAAAACTGGCATACTTAGGGGCCCGAATAATTAGAATAATGTTCTTTACAGGGGGTTCCCTAAAAGGTTTCTGTTATTCGGATGTTAGTCTAGGGGACTTCATGATTAGAATATTGTTTTGGTGCCTCTTAAGTACGGTTGCTGGAGATTGTAACATATTCCCTTAGGCCGGCTTTACGGCCTAGGATCTTGATACTGCACGATATACCCAAATGCGGTTCAGGGTTTAGGGGTTGAGGGTGTTGTATGATATACCCAAACCCCGACTTCAGCCCCCCTGTAAACAGGACCCTTGACGGGACCCTAGTTCAGAGAGCTACCCATGAAGGCCCTAAGCTCGCCGAATCTTCACACATTGAGCACTAAACACGACGACTACAGACAAATTTAAACCTTACCCTAATCATAATAGTTCTTCGCAAAGTACTATTATCATTTCTTGTCACGATTGTTATTTTTTCGACTAAATAATCGGTAATTCAGTTCTACCGAGAGCCCCCCCCGAGAGCACCGTCTTGTGCTTCAACGGGGTGCCTACAGCGGATTTCCTAAACCTGAAACCCGAAACTCAAACCTCTGTAACTAAACCCAAAACCCCTAAGCCCCAAAGCCTAAACCCTAAACCTTAAACCCTAAACCCTAAACCCTAGGCCCTAAACACTGAAGCTTTGACGCTGAGAGCTGACGTTTCACGCCGGCCCGGGACCACGATCTTCTTTGTGTCGTTCTGTAGCTGTTTGGGGCATGGGAGCTTGAGGGTTCAGGGTTTAAGGGCGGTTTAGAGTTGTTAGAGTTTATATGGTATGGGGTTTTGGGTAGGGGTTCGCGTGCTGAGTTTAGGGCACCCTTGAGTGGTTTTAGTGTCCAGTGCTAGCTTTAGAGGGTTTTGCTGGGGAGCTATAAGAGCCAACATGTTTTTTGGTAGGTCATGATGCTCTGCAGGTATCGCAGCCTGCGAGAAAGCCGGCGAGTGGGAGAGAGCAGTGCAGCTTTTTTCGACGATGCCGTCAGACAGAATTACACCAGATGTCATATCTTTTAGCTCCAGCATCTCGGCATGTGGTCGCAGCAGTCAGTGGCAGCTGGCATTGCTGCTGCTGACAGAAATGCCCCGCCGACATAAGATTGCGCCAAACTTGATCACCTACAGTGCCGCCATCAGTGCTTGCGAAAAGGGTGGCGTGTGGACTGCCGCACTTCAGCTGCGCGCCGACATGTCTTTGGCAAAGATCCTGCCTGATGTGATCTGCTGGAATGCATGCATCAGTGCCTGCGAGAAAGGCTGGGTTCGATAAAGCGAGTTTGTTTACCGTAGTAAGGAAGGCATATCGTCGTACTGTCTGCTTGGAAAAATTTGTGGCAGCTTTGCTAAACTAAACTGGACCGTTTGCAAGCCCTACCAAAGCCCACACCAACTTTCCGCAATCCTTCCACAACCATGCAAAACGAAAGCCCTCCTAAACAAAAAGCTTTACACAGCTCCTTACACTCCTTGCAGAGCCCTATGAAGCCCTTCTAGAGCCTCAAACGCTGCGCCTTAAACCGCAAACCCTAAACCCTAAACCTTAAACCCTAAACCCTAAACCCTAAACCCTAAACCCTAAACCTTAAACCCTTTAAAACAAACCCTGCAGGTGGGTACTGGCAGACGGCGCTGGGGCTCTTCTCCCTCTTCGCCACGTCCCGGCGACTTGTTGGGCTCTCTTCATCTTAAGGGGTTTGGGTTTAGGGTTTAGGGTTTAGGGTTTAGGGTTTAGGGTTTAGGGTTTAGGCTTTAGTGTCAAATGGATTAGGATGTGGGGCATTTAGAATGCTGGGTGTGGGTTAAGGATTTTGGCTTTGGGGTTGCATCAAACTTGCTCCTGGGATCGAAAGCCTTAATCTGAATTTAACCATAAACACGTACTCCATTGAAGGTTTTGTGGTTCACCTTCTATAATTCCCGATTTCCATTATTCAACCCTGAACCCCTAAACCCTAAACCCTAAAAGTGCGCACAGGTGCCTGGCACCCACGGTGGTGAGCTTCAACGCCACCATCAGTGCTCCAATCTACCAAAACCGTTTTTCCTTTGTAGGGTTCCTATAAATTCCATGTTAGGATTTTCAATAAGAGCCCAGAAAAAAGTGGGTTTTGGTAGGTTAATGCATATCTGGAGTATGAGGTATTTGCGGATTTCATTAAAGCAGGGCTTAGTGTATTGACATTGAGACGATAGCGGTTATAGATCTCGTAGAGGAGCCCTTATAGATCCCTAGTTGTGGAACCCTAAACCCTAAACCCTAAACCCCAAACCCCAGCCCTAAACCCTAATTTCTAAACCCTAACCCTAAACCCTAAACCCTAATATCTAAACCCTAAACCCTAAACCCTAATTTCTAAACCCTAAACCATAAACCCTAATTTCTAAACCCTAAGCCCTAATTTCTAAACCCTAAACCTTAATTTCTAAACCCTAAACCCTAAACCCAAATTTCTAAACCCTAGACTTATGGTGGTTGAAGGCGCCTGCGTGGAGGGCGGCGCCTGGCAGTGGGCTCTGGAGCTCCTGTCGGAGATGCGGAAAGCGAAGGCTGCGTGGGGTTGAACTGGGGGTAGGGGTTTAGGGGTTTGGGGTTTAGGGGTTTAGGGTTTGGGGGTTTAGGGTTTTAGGGTTTAGGGTTTTGGGTTTAGGGGTTAGGGTTTTATCTTGTCCAATGCGCAGCCTTGTCAG